AAATTAAAGCACCCGATTTGGATCGACGTTTGGTTGAAGACACAGCCAAACTGACTGCAATTGCCAGTGGCGCATTGGCCACAGAGGGCTGGCTAGTGGCGCAAGGTATCATACTCGCAATTTTAGCCAGCAGTTAAAAATGGTTTATTAAAAATATCGGGTACATTTATACCAGACAAAATTCCTCTGTTGGATAAAAATAAAGAACCAAATCAAGGAAAAGAAGAATTACAGGATGATACAACGCAAGATAATGAATTTGCATTTGACAATAGCCTTGCCACAACGGAACAAGAAACGTCATTTATAGAAAGTCAACCACCAAAACCAGAACACCTTCAGAGTGAAATGATTAAAGAGAAAATGAATAGTTTTTACGACGATATTAAAAAAAAGATATAGGTATGAAGCGACATTCAGGGATCCAAATGTCTTTAACATTAGTAACCTTAATCTATGTGTTAATTTTAAAAGTGTTAAAGTTGTTCTTACACAAAAAATTGATAAAAGTACATTTTTTAGTATACATACAATTTATAAAATTACAAAAGTAAATTTCATAAGAAATGTTTTAGGTCTCAGTGACTATGTTACCAATAAAACCAAACAAGAAGTAGAAAAATTAAAAAAAGAAGTTGAACAAATACAGCCCGAAAAAATTCCAAAAGAAGAACTTGCTGATATCGCTCATGAATTGAAAATGGCAACGTAGAATTTGAGACACAATCCACAGACACCAAGGTACAAACTGCAGACACCAAGGTACAAACCACAGGCTTTGACTATTTACCACAGCAGCTTTATGAATTAGACAAAAAATAAAAAAATATTTGAGGTAATTTACAACTTGTAGAAGCTAGAATTGCGAATGTAGAAAGAGATATTCAATCAACTGAAAATACATTAAAAGAACCAAATATCACACAAGAACAAAAAAATCAGAGACTAAATTGCTAACAGATTTAAACAATGAATTAGACTCATTAAAAGCGCGACAAAACAATTTAACCTTGGGATTTAGATATCAACTTGTAATGTTGAAAGAAACAATTCAAAAAGCTTTAGGTGCTGATTTAACTTTACGCGAACGGATTTGAACGTTGTTTAAAGAGCAAGGTGTCACTTTAGTAAGCATTTTAACGGCCTTTGGTTTAGCCATTAGTAACTTAATCGGTTCCATAGTAGCTGGTGTTAGAGCTTTGGGCACTCCTACGCCTGAACCAACACCAACGCCAAAACCGCCATCAAAAGAAGGTGAAACCGACTGGATCAAACGTCAATTGCAAAATTTGGCAAATGTGTCGAAGAAACTCGGTTTAAAAGCTTTAGGTGCTTTGCCCGGTGTAATTGGTAGCGTGTTGAGATGGATTTTTAACGTAGCGAGCAAGGCAATTGGATGGATTGCTGATCACGTTTGGACTTTGTTTTTAGCGGCGGGTTATTTGATTTTGACTTTTATACAAAAAAACGTAACAGTGCAAAAAATAAACCTTTCCTTAAATTTGGGGAGGGGTTATTTTCATGCCATAATTTATCCTATTTCATTATTTTATACAAGACGAAACCGAGACCAACAATGGCAATAATTCCAACAATTCACAACAATTTCTATTCGGTGTGATTGTCTAAAGGTTGTTTTTCTGCGGTAATTTTTGTATTGGCAAAGGGGGTGTGGGTTCTGCTTCAGCTTTTGATTTTTTTTACTTGATCGAGAACCGGCACTTCACTAGAATTTAAACTTGGTACATAACTCATTTGCATGTCGGCTGTCGCAATCTGACGGTTGTTGTTGTAACCTTCAAACGTCCGATGCGTAAGTCCATGTCAGAGGGCACCAAATACAACCCCGGTGCGACTAAAACTAACAAACGATGCATCACTGGAGCGTTAGAACCAGAAGCCGTAACTAAAAGAGTGGTTTTGTCTGGGATTGCGCTTCTGATGGTTCTCGTTCTTTCATCGTGTCATCTTTCTCTTTATGCAATGGACCGGATGATGTTTCTCTTATACTCCAACGTTCATCATTCGTATTTGATTGTTGAGGTCAGTTATTTTTTGCATAATTGAGTGATCAAATTTTTCTAAATTTCCATCTTCATAAGCTCGAATATAATCTTGTATTACGCCATAAAATATATCCAAAGTGTCTTTCTCTAATTCTTTGAATGGTATTTTGAGTTCAAGCGCTTTTACAACGACCTTGTTAATTGTTTCAGCTCCACTTGATAATTTCTTCACTTGGTCTTTCTTCGGGTGGTTGTGGGTCATTAATTGGTCTTGTTGCTTCGAGTCTCCTTTCTGCGGGACTTTCTTCGACTTGGGTCTGCCATTCAATTTCAGTAGATTTTGTAATGTTCAAATATGATCCCGGTTTAAATCTTACTTTTCTGAATTTAATCTTTTTATCGTCTTGCAAATTATCGATGGCATTTTCTAATTTAAACGTCTGTGGATTTTCGGTCAAATAAAAAGTATTTCTATTTTATTATACCATTTTAAATGTTTTGACGGCATTGTTAAAGTGCTCGTCCGATACTTGAAACAGACTTTTGATTTCGTCGTCTGAGACTCAAATTACTTCTTGATAGCACACCGCCGTCAATGCCTTGAGTGGCCGCCCTCGAGAAATTTTACCCACTAAAATTTGGTTTAGTTTGTATTCTATGGCCGCCGCTTGTTCTCTCGTTAATTGAATATTTAGTTGTTTAAATATTTTGTCGGTTTTTGATACGGGCTTTTTATAAACAAAACGCTGATTTTATTTGCCGCTTTTGTTTTCTGCCTCTTCTGAATAAAGGGGACATAATACCAAGCTGCAATCGCGACAATAGATACATTCATTTCTTTTAATTTTTAATTGTTGTGTAGACATGCGTCTTGTGATTGTAGGTCAACTCGCCCCCTGGCCGACTCGCCCCTTACCAACTCTCCCCCTGACCGACTCGCCCCTTACCAACTCTCCCCCCTGACCGACTCCCCCCCAGCCGACTCGCCCTTTACCAACTTGCCCCCCCTAGCCAACTCGCCCCATGACCGACTTGNGTTTAAAGCTTGGTGGATTTTCTCTTCATGTGAAATTGGGGGTAACAATCATTTCTTTTTTATATTGGTAAAACTAATTCAGTATTATCGTGTGTATGGGCCATGGTGCAGCGTTTCCTGTGTATTGTCTATGGGATTTCGTGCACCACAACACCAACACCCTACCATATTAATTAACTTTGCAAACTATTTCAGATAAAAAAAATGGTACATATTGGGCATAATGCCCGGCGACGCAAACCTACGGAAGTGTTAAGGAGACATGATTTATGACAAAGGGTGTAACGGTTGCTACACACTTTCAGGTTCCGATAACTTCACCGGATGCATTTATTAGTTCACAATTAACACTACTTAATACTGATTTATTCGGCGAGTACAGTCATCAAGGATCACATTGTTGATCGGCCATATTGAATTATAACCCAGCATACGCTGTCGGTGTCATGACGTCAGGGAAAAACAGTCATGTCATCTGGTGCCTGTTACTTGTAAACAAATTAAGAGCACTCTCAGAGATATTCAATTCCAAAAAAGGAATAAAAATTACGCAAACAGAAAAAAAAATTAATAATGGGGTGTTAAAAATTGACATTAGTGTACAATGTACCACTATGACTTTATACATCACACAAAAAGCGTATATCCAAGAACCTAAATCAATTTTCGCAGTATATGTGAGGTCCAAGTCGAGTGAATGAGCAAAAGAACACTATAACTAACTAACTGACTGGATATCGGGTCACTTCAAGAAGATACAGTCACATACCCAAATATTAATGGGATCGGTTCGAAGTTATTGATCCTAAGGCATCGAAATTGAGGCTGTCTGTGTTGAACCTCGTACAAGGGGTCATCCAAGGTATCTTAAGGGGAAAGGCAAGATCAACCTTCCCAGCCTTTAGTGGACTGTCAGATCCCACTACCAGGAGCGAGAGGCAACTGACTCATACAACATTTATCCCAGTTGACCCATGAACCCAAGGAAACTCCTAAGAATTCCTAGTTCGAGCATTCAACCTCGAACAGAAAGTGATCTTTGTAATCCAGGAGACTGACTCCCAGCTACGATATGAGCCAAGTCTAATGCCAAAGATGGAATGTTTAGACATGGAATTTTGACGGGCTTGAGAAATTATGCTCTAAAACAGTGCTCAGACCCTAGATGATCATAATATGAGCGACGAGGTTAATCTTTGAATTAAATGCAGGAATGACTGTGCCAGTCTAGAGGCAGAAAAGCAGAAGCTTGATGTAGAGAGGTCAAGTACAATCAGTGGAGTGATGACTGAAACACAGCCAAGCCTAAAGGAAAGGAAATTCTGAAATACTTTGCACGTGTGTATAATTTTGCATTTATTTTTGAAAAGGTCCATTTCCACACCATGCGAAAATCACACTAAATTACACACAACTTAAGTTTGGACTGTAGGTCTTCCCTTATGCACATGACCCTCAGCTGAAACAGTGTCTACCATCATCTCTCTCTGCCAATGTTAAAAGGGTACTTCTACAAGAAGCGGATATCGTGCAAACAACTGACGTGTACACATGTACACAAATACATGTACAGTAAGTGTTTGTGCATGGAGCATACATCTTGGTCAACAAACAATATGATTAAATTATGCGCACAACTTATTCATTCTTTATTTGGGGGCATTTTTCTCTCTTTGGGCTCCATACCACAGCACTACAAAGCACGAAAATCCGTTTTTATGGACACATTGAATTTGATGCAGCAAAAACTAACTTCAACATAGCCCAGGATGATCTTCAAACATTTTAGGTGAACTTAAAGGATTTTTAAAATGCAAAAAAGGCAAAGTAAGGAATTAAATTTTGTGCAGAAAACCCCATAAAATGTGACTTAAATGGGCTTGTGAAGTGATTTGAATACAGTAAGGACAAGACACGACATGCTGTTTGAACAGATTTAAAGAAACACGCAGAAGATATTCAGCTCATTTTGTTTTATGCAAATTACTGTAAATTATATTACAAACAAGATCTAAATACTTGTTCCATTAGAAATCAAAGGAAAGTGGTAGTTTTTCAGTTCTCAGAAAATATCTTCGTCAATGTATGTACGAGAGCACTATTTTATGTTCCCATACAAAATGCTCATTGTCAAAAGAGCATAAGAACAGTGAAAAACATCAATCCTTCAAACTCAACCAACAACACTGTTTTGAAGAAATATGGGCCACTACTATTGTCAAAACAAGCTGTTTGATATGAAAACCAAATATAAACTACCAGGGTTGAGAAGGGGGAAAAAAATTAAATATCTACGAAATAATAATCACCTGAGGTTTTGATCAAGGGCCCCACAGCAGTGTTGTGTTTATGGCATACATTTGTGTTTGCTAGGAACAACTCATATCTGTCATGTTCTATGTCAACTTTTAAACACACAGGCTTTTCAAAATTTAAAGAGATCGACTGAAAAATCCAGAAGTGGGGAAAAATCCTTACAAATCTCGTCCCTGCAACCTACTCAAAGAAATGTAGAAGAGAGTCATTCATATACTGTGCACAAACCTACGGAGACAATTCTACTCTGCCGTGAATGACATAATGCTTTGGTGTTGAAATCTTCGTAAGCATAACATCCAAAATGTTGAAATTTCTCCCTTTGCACAGGAGGTGAAATGTAATTGTAGCATGCAAATAAAACTGTGATACATGTGTATTTATTTTAAGTCATAAAAATCCAGTAGTTCATTGAAGAATGGTTCAACCTGCCCATTCAACTTTTATTACAAACCAATCTAGTGGAGTCCCAAAACAGCCAAGACTGATCTCCTGAATTCTTTCTCACCTACATGTGTATGAATTAATACTGCATGTATTCTTTCCTGTCTTGTGAACAAACTGCATATGTGACCTGTCACCACAAAATGAACTGAAAGTCGGAATTTTCAAAACTCAGATATTGGTACTTTTGAATTCAGCAGAAAGAGAGCTTTCCAATTGTATGTACATGGAACACTAGGGTAAAAATATAAGTTGACACTGTGGCATTATTCGGGCAGCTTTGCGTCTTTGTCTCCGACACTGTATCAACATTTCAGACCAGGCACAAGTAATGCTATCGTAAAAATTGCTACAAAAATGACATTTTACAATATGTGATTCTGCAAAATATATGTAAATAAATAGAAGGTGGACTACTCTGTCCAAATATTAGAAAACCCCAAAATTGACCTCTACTTCAATATAACTTTGAACCCTCAAAACAGGAAAGAGTGGGATGCTACTTTACTCTCATTTTGTTGTGACAGGTCACATATTTTGCTTGATGAATGGTCTAGAAAAGTGTATATTGTGCTTGTGGAGCAGTGTACATCTCGCTTGTGGAGCAGTGTACATCGTGCTCATTATGCTTGCAAGTTTTGCAAAACATTGGACTCCACTATTTTCATAAAGAAAGATTTGCTTTCTTTTTCAACAGCCATGCTCATGAAATGCTGAACAGCATAGCATGAAAGGAGCCTCATGTTGACCTCTAGACTTTATCACACTTCATACTATCACACTGTCCACATATAACCGTCCCAACTGTTTAACTTTTATCCTTACTGCTTGGTCAGAACCAGTATTTTCCATCCTTTGGTGATCAATTCTTGGAAAATTTTGGATTCTAGATGTTATCTGGAGCAATCTTGGAGACATTCCGGGTCACTTGCTTCTGTATCCCAAATCTGCTAGCATTTACAAAGTGAAATAATGACAAGAATTTCCATAGAGTCAATATACACGTACTGTACATACTGCACCATAAACTCATTTCATTTGTGTTGCATATACAATAGCACAACTCTACTGTACTGTTTGGTTCCATCTTAAGCAAAAGGAAACCAGACTACATCACGTTTTATGCATGCGACTTTTGGCCACTATTTATTTTCATGACAATTCAACAATGATTCCACAGCACTGACTTAAAAAACCTGGAAAACTATACAAATTTGCTAGCCTTATACATCTGTGAGAAACATAAGGCTGTTCTTATGCTTGGACTGCAGAAATGTGACCCTTAAGACACTGCATCATGATAATGTGGGACAAAAACACACAGTCCAGGCTACCAATCAGGGGTTGCCATGTTCAAGTGAGCTATTCGTGTTATCCCAGGGCGCATGCGGGGAGCATGTGTATACTGACTCCAGATAATGCATATGCATCCTGTCAAATTACCAGAAGTAGCGGCTTGAATGCACCATGGATTTACAACATTTACAAGTACAAGAACATAACGTAATTTGACGCGACTTCAAAGACAAAGAAAAGATGACGGATGATCAAAACAAAAAAGGCAAAGTCAGTGTAAAGTGTGCATTTCCAAATGTTTGAAAACTAGCCTTTCCTGAACAAACTAGAAAAAGATGCTGTGTAAATATATTGTTTTAATTTTTTTCGCATCTCAAAAATGTGGGGGGGGGGGCTATGCCCCGGGCCCTCCTTGTGTCCATGGCCATGCAATATGACATAAAGATGCTGTTGCTTGAGTGGTCTATGCATTTTGTACACCCGAAGGACACCTAGCCTTCACATTGAAAGGTGTTCAACCAAAGACTTAATATGATAAGTTTTTAAAGCATAAATGGGCCGATGAGCAGTCTGGTGGCATCACTTTTGTATGCAATGTACCAACATATTGATTACGTAAAAGACATTTCTGGTCATAGGCTTTCTTGTGCAATTCACTTCAATACTATTGGACTGGTTTTTCATGTATTAATTTAACTGATAAAGTGTACATACAAGAAATTGAGAATCTTTTTTTTTTAAGGGGAAGGGGGGTTATTATACATGTATGTACATTCAGAGAAGATTGGGGGTGATGTCATGGTCTGTGTGCTTTGCTCTTAGCTTTCTTGTCCTTGGTAGGTATTCTGCTCTTAGCAGTAGACTCTGCTTGTTTTCGAGGTGTCTGCTTGTGCTTATCTGCAGCCTGGCTCTTCTCTCTCACTGTCATAAAATACACAAATAAACAGCCAATTTACTATCATGTCTATTAACACTTTGCCAATGAAAACTCCAACATCCACAACTGTGCAGGAAATCACTTCATAATTTTGTATGTCACCTTTCAAGGGACAGCCGGGTCCTATTTAAAGAAACAGTAGCTATATCACTGTATCTAATGATGCATACATGTACGTGTATATCTACAAAAGGATCAGACTAGCTAAAAACATGTGAAATCTTAGTCTTGGCACAAAACTCCATTTGTATTTTTCCCCATGTATGCTGCCCAGGAGACGAAATATGCACTGGCAAGCACAACTGAATAGTGGTAACAGTAGAGGATGCCAAGCCACAAGAGATGAAATGTTCTGCAATCCAGTCTTGATTTTTGCAGGCTTACCTGTAAAATTCCGAGCATGTCTTATGTGCTTAAATGACCATGAATAATAGCAAGGTGTGCATCTTGGACTTTGACAAACAATGAGGAAAATCCAATCTTTACAAGACTTTGTACAGTGTTTTTCAATTTTTAATGACTTAAGTATGAAGTCACAAAGAAACCAGCTGATCCAAGGAAAAGTTGCATGCCTTAACAGTACATGTGTTAATTCCAGGCTGTTGCAAAGTGGACTGGTGCCTTGAAACATTGATGAATGGCTGAAAGTGTTAGTAACAAACGTTGGTGATACTGTTGTGCCGGCTAACGATGGATCAATTTAGCAAAAATGGACAAATGCCACTGATGACATGAATCAGTATTTCGTAGCTGTACCATTGCTAACTCACAAAATAGCCAACAGCATTGAATTAAAAGAGCACGACAATTTTCAGGTTCTTAGAGTAGAACCAAACTGAAATATGCCTACATGTGCTGAGAATTACTAAATTTGTCAGTGCCTGAATCTCACAAAAATTGCTGAGCAGGGGGTCAACAGATGACGAGGGATAATTTGTACATTTGTTGAATAGGTTTTATTAAACAAAATACTGCAGCAAAGGATTTTTTCCTAAATATTTAATGATCAAGTGTAGCAAAAACTCAGAAAATTGTATAGTACAATGCGGTCTTGATGCCTTTTGTCTTAGGGATCAGAGAACTATTTATGGTAATTTGAACACGTTGAAGTCGGCTCAGAATTTTTCAGTAGGCTTGCCAAATTTCCCAAGACTGGACTTCAGATGAGTTTGTCTTTTCATGATCATTGTCCTCTACTGCTATCTGGCTGTGCTGGTCAGTGCATGTTTTCACAGTATCATGCATATTTGTAAAACAATGCAAATCCAGTTGTGAGCCAAGACTAGTAAAATCCTATCAGATGGTAAGCATGTACATTTATGTTCATCAGACTACGCCCCTTCTGTTTCCAATTACACTACACTCCTAAAAAGGGTATGTACACTAAGTGGGATCTTTTTTCACTTGTTGAAAAATAACTTCCAGTGTAACTGGAAATGGGAAAAAAGCAAAAAATCCCCCAAATTACCAGTGTCAGCAACAAACTTCTGTTAACAAGAGAGAAACTGATCTTGTTTGAAAGGCAATGTGTATGTGTTGTTTGTTGATCCCAGGCTGGCTAGATAGCAAATCCATATGAATGTTTTCTTATTGATTCGGTAGTGAATTTGCTTCCAAATCAGTTCAAACATGTTCTTTATGAAACTGAAATTAATAGAGTACCAAAGTGTGACACCATTTTGAACCATCAGTGCAAACGAATGGAGTACATGCGCATGTGTGATTCACACATTGGTTCTTGCTTTAATGCCTTTTACACACATAATTGTGCATGTGACATAGTCATTTCGATGAATAAGGAATTGCAATAAAAAATTTGTATGATAATTGGAAAAAAATTGAAATGCAACTACAGAGAAAGCTGACTCATCACCAATCACTGCTGAAGTGATGTAAGTGCACGAGTGCATTAAATTTTAATCAGTAACTATCTACAATTTTATACATGTACAAAGCGAAAGAAACCAGTAAAGTTTTATGGGACAGCAGAAGGCATAGGTTGGGGCCTGGTAATAGTTTTTGGAAGGAAATGAATTTTTTTAACTTTTGGGATTTAAAACTTGTACATGTGACTTCTAAAGACACAGTTTTGGGTAAATAATGGATTTTAATTACGCATGAATTTTAAATAAGTTTTCAAGTCGGGTAGGGGCATTTTTCTTGTCTCTTTTTCTGTTTTGTGGGGTAATTTGTACAGAGTTTTTCTTTTTTCAAGATGTATTTGTGTTGGGGAAAGTGTCAATTTTAATTACAGGTTTTTGCCCTTCCATCAATGTATGTCAAAACTGCCTTGTTTATTTCACCTCTGTATTAAGTGTTGAGTCTGCAGGTTATAAGCAAGATAGCAGGTGGACATACACTGTTGCACAATATGTTTTCTCATAGAGTTTAATATATAATGTCCATGTTATGAACACAAACTTGCTATCATTCACTTTGCATACCATTACGGCAATAGATTGCAGATTTGGTGTTAAATCATATTTCAGTTGTTAACAGTCCATAAATCTTTCTAACAAACATTACTTCTCTGGTTGACCCATTCATTGTATGAAAAATGATCACTTTCTCAATTTTTGTACATAATAGAGCTCACCTAAACACATTTTGATTTTAAGGGGTGAAGATTGCATTATTTTTAATCACTTTATGTTAAAGTGACATGGACACATCAGACACAATTCATAATATGATACAACTTCAGCTGCTTGGACATTTATGTAAAGTATGAAAAATAACTTAGGACACAAAGTATGTATATTGACTCACTTCAAGAACAAATAAATCTTTCATTTTAACATATCTTGCTCCAGGGCCTCTTCTTAATCATGCCCCTTTTTTGGGTTCATTTTGTAACAAAAATGCGTCATGTATCATATCCCTCCCTCATAGTTAACCACTTGCTGCCCAGTGCTTTGAAAAAATGCAGTGGATAACAAAGGGTCATTTTCAAGATTTTCTGTCTGCAAATTCTTCAACATTTCTTCATTTCATTTAACAGACGTTTATACCCACAAGAAGTAATCCTTGGGCACTACTCAAGCTGACAGGTGACCTTCATTGATGCCGGAGTATTTTAGCCAGACCTGCAGCCTTGTCAAAAGAGCCCAGATTGTGCAGTGTTCTACCCTTTTTTTTGTTCTCGAACGTGCCACAGTATGCTACTGCCCTGTTTTTAATCGGGGCCAGATTAGCATAAAGTGTGGCTCATCACTGTGGTGGTAGAGAGCTTTTGTCCCCAGTTGTAATCCGCTAACTCTAAATGCCCCAAATCCTGGTATAAGGTTTCAAAACAATACTGTATTATCTCCATTATTGAGAGTGAAAAAATGTCGGTAATATCCAGCAGGTCAGTCTTATGTGCCGAGCATGGTCATTTGTTACAAGGCCCAACTCTTTTGTCCAGAAACCGGCTCCCCATCTTTGTGCCATAACCCTAACATTCCTCAGTCCTCCAACAGGTGAAGGATTGAGGAGTGTTAGGGTTAAGCCCAGCTCCTTGAAAATGGGTTGCCCATCAGGAAGTGGTTACGGTAAGAAAATGTTTTCAGAGCCTAAGATGTTTTGCTCATTAAAAACAATTCTTTTTTTAATTTTTCTTTAAAATTTTTTAAAATGACATATTCTAACCTCTCTTGATAGCTAGTTCTCGCCGGGGATTTTTAAGGCAAGCATCCTTGCCTGTTCCCATTAAATGCTTCCTCCAGTTGCCATCTTTATCATCTGCAGCAGTTACGCTGACATGACACAGTGGGCATTTACTCATGCCAAGCTTGGGAGCTGAACAAAAAATAAGTATATGATTAATTAGAACTCCAGTAGTTAGGCAGATATTCAAAGATCAAATAAAGCAAGCTTCACAAATGTAAAAGCTTAAGGGAGTACATACAGTGCGGATCAAAATAGCAACTGGGCCATACCTCCTTCCAAAAGCAAATATCTACAAGAGGGTAATTGTGTGTTTCTGTTCTCACCCATTCCATTTTTAATTTCAATCACATTGAAACTCTGCATCAAGACCCAACACACCAAAAAGTAACCACCAAACAAACAGTGTGGCTGAGGAATGTAAGTGTAAGCCAGGGTTGTTGATATTTATTTTTAAAAAAGGAATGTTTAAATTGAAATGTTTTGATTCAAATCTAAGCTGATCTATTTTAAGGCAAGGAAATATAGCCATGTGTGTTAGTTTTCTTTTATTTATTTCTTTCGTTACAAAATCTAACAAATCTATATTTAGGTTAAGAGATTGAAATCAAGCAATTTCATTGAAATCATTATTAGCAAATAGGAACCACCTTCAACTTTGTTTAAGCCCACATGAACACCTACCTGTACATGTACCAACATATAGAGTACAGTTCTTTCCAAGATACAGGTGTCAAGGATAAAATACCAGATTTTAAACGGTAACTCAGAGTTGGAATTATTAACCAAGAGCTGAACCTAATGGACCAGTAAGCAAAATTGCCATCAAGCACATGTATATGTAGTTACTGTACATGCTAGATACAAAAAGCTGGTACAGGGCCTGAAAGTAAAAGGTCACGCGATGAGCATCCAGAACCCTCAGCCCACTTGTGGGGATTTAACATTGAGTCACTCATTACATTCTTAATTTTTGGAAAATGATTTCTGAGACCACCAGGGGCCTCCTCGAAACACTTATGTTGGGATTTCATCTTTGTATTCTTTAAGTAAACTTGTGCACAAATTACCTGGAAATGGGTAAAAAGGATTTCATTTACCTGTCACGTCTGGCATTATCGTACCTCATCATGTACTGTGTACCTAATTGTTTTCTCAATGTGTGCTTACCATATAACATTGTAAAGACATACATATACCTTCAGCCGATGGATTATAGAATTAATTGAGCTGGCCTGAAGCAAGTCTTGTCAGCAAAGATAAGAGACAAAACTTACAGTTTTGTTTAAATACTTATTTTTCCTGTATATTTATTTTTTAATAGTCCAACTATTTTAATTTGAGTTTTACCTGAAAATCACCAAGTAACTTTACACATTTTTACTTGCGTACAAGTACACCGAGTTGCACCGGCCATTATCTATTTTAGATGTTTAAAAGAGAGAAGTCAATTTATTAGCATGATCTTTCTCTTTCAGGTTAGGCAATTTCAAGTTTCCGTAAAGTTATATGCTAAAAATATTAAGTACCAAGAGTCTTTATGACAGCGATTGTTTTAATGAAGGTCAGGGAATTTTTCAGTGTCTAAAAAGTCATGTGCCAGAAAATAACTTTAAAGGGCTTTTCTTGAAGGTGATTATTTCAATGAAACAAATAAATGTAACAAAATTGCAAATTTTGCTTATTTTTGCTATTCAAGGGCTTCTGAGGGCACTTCAGGGGATAAATTTCAGGCTGTATTTTTATCAGGTTCCAATACTTATAAAAAGAGCAGTCTCATTACAATATTTAAGACACTTCATAACTCTCTTTGTCATCCAGCTTCTGTGCCATTAAGCCTAAAAATTCTCATCCAGTGATTTTACATACACCCAAGGGGACTAGGGTTAATAGAGTTACACATGTATGGTTCAGGCTTGCTTCTTATAGTAAGAACTTTTGTTACTGCTTTTGGTTTCACTGTGTAAGGAGGAACAAAATTGTAATCCAACTAAAACAGTGACAAAAGATATATGTGCCCTCTTACTTTTTAATGCTCAACTCAAAGGTGAGCACCTCAATTGCAGTTAAATTAATTCATTTGTGTAGCCAAATTTTTCATGCATTGAGTCCAAACGTTTGATTTAAATTGAAATAATAGGCATGATTGGAACAAAAAAAATTCCGGCTGAACTCAATTATGTGTTAATACACATGCAGCTCTAGTACAGGTACAAGTACTGGAAAAGCACCAAAGAAGTGTAAATGGGTCTGTCCACACTACACCTAAAAGGCACATCTGTGTGACACTTGACACAATCTTCCAACTGTAAAATTTTGTCCTTTTTTTGCTTATACACTGTATGTCTTCACTGTTTCTTATCCACTTTCTGCCGGGGACTCCGGGATCAGAGACGCATGGTTTATATGGGTGGCCGGGGTCTCCAAACTCGGACAAAGGAAACAGGGCCCTGTAACAAAAGACCGTACTCCGAACAAAAGACCAGGCTGCTGGGCATTACCGGCATTTTTCATTCTCAAAAGTGGTGATAATCCAGCGTTATTTTGAAACCGTATACTAGGGTTTGGGGCATTTAGAGCAAGCGGATAAAATGATAGTCAATCCGGCCCAGCATCCTCAACGTTGAAAAATGCCCCGGTCCGAAGTGGTTAAAAGAATACAAACTACTGAGTTACAAAAGGTTACAAGAGCCTTTTTTTTAACTAGGAAGCCATTTCTTCCTTCTTGCCACATACAGTCGACTCCCATTATTACGAGCTTGGTCATAATGATAACCCAGATGCAACAAGCATATTCTCCCAGTCCCGAACAATTTGTGTTCATTGCTATGGAGAAATATTTGGTCATTACGTGCATGAACATTGTGAGACTCCGCCTACGACGATTTGTGCCGATCCCATGTGAGCAAAAGTATTGTTCTCAACCCATTTACAGCGACTTTTTCCCAAAACCATATTATCTGAAGCTGTTAACGACAAACCTTTTGTCCCGATTCGGGCATCATACATTTCCCAANATTACTCCGTGCGGCTATAAAAGACCGTTAAATGAAATGATGAATTGTTGAAGGATTTCGAAAATGGAAAAAATGATAGTCATGCCGGCCCAGCATCATCAATATTGAAAAATGCCCCGGCACGAAGTGCTTATTGTTACCACAGAAAGATCAAGACAAATTGAGCATTATTTAAGAAGCTACATAAGTTTGTTCTTGAAGATGTAACATTTGTCACATTGAAAATTAAATTTAGAATATGACAATTACCTGCAATATAATAAATAGTCATTTTACTTTACATTCAGAAACTTTCATAACGTCAAAAAACAATTCCAGTATACATAACACTGAAATTGATTTCATGAAACCAAGATAACATTTGTCACTGGACAGACATTACGTTACGTCACATGGACAGATATAACATGTGTCACATGGACAAACATTTTTTGGTGCTTGAATTAGAGTATGAAAACCGAATTGGTCACAAGCCAGACTTGTTTGTTTTCAGTTTAAAAAACCATTTTTGTTAGAAAGACTATTAAACTTCAGCTTAAATGAACACTAAGTTTTTCTCAGTGAGTAACATTTGTCACATATAATAAGCTGGGGACAGACGGTATTCTCTCTTTCTTTTAAACAAAGTGAACAGACTTTTTTAATGGATTGTTATTTTATTTAATTTGGCTTTGTAATATATGTAAATGTACTCATAGGATAAGTTTCCTCAGATTTCTACATTTAGAGGGAAAAAATATGTATTCTCTCTTTCTTTTAAACAAAGTGAACAGACTTTTTTAATGGATTGTTATTTTATTTAATTTGGCTTTGTAATATATGTAAATGTACTCATAGGATTAGTTTCCTCAGATTTCTACATTTAGAGGGAAAAAGTATGTTACATGTACAAAATATTTGAAAAAATATTTTCAATTCCTAAATTCAAATCTTAGTTGTTTCCGAAGAAAAAACACAAATGTGATGTTAACCACTTCACGCTGGTGGCAGCTATCAATATTGATGATGCTGGGATGGGATAATCATCATTTTTCTGTACTCAAAAATCTTTAAAAATTCCTATCACCATTTATTGGGCACTAACACCCACACGAAGGACTGTCTGGTTTCTACTATAATCTGACAGACATCTATTGATGCTGGATTATTTCTGCCGGGCCTGTGGCCTTGTAAAAAGAGCCCAGATTTTGCGGTGTTTCAAAATTTTCTTTTGTTCTCGAAACTGGCATAGTGCACTGCTGACCTCTTTTCAATA